TTAAGTTGAATTTAATCGTGTTAATAAATCCATAATTAATGAACTTTCATTTGGTCTTACAGAACATTTAAGRTTTATTTTATTGCAATTAATTAATCAATACAATTATGATGAATTATTGTAATACATTTTTCTTCAACTGTTATGTTATGTTACATTCATATAGTTTCATTGGTGCAGTACACATTTGGCTGCATTTAGTCTCTCTAGCTCAGTTATCTTGGCTTTGTCAAAGGTAGTATAAGCCGTTGGTCTAAGTGTTCAATTAGTCTTCTTGGATTATTGAATTGGTCTTGAAATCTTCTTGTTTGTAGTGTACTTTTCATCTTGGCCTCATCTCTAGTTCTGTCCGTAGTTATTAAAGTCAAAGCAAGCAAATCAAGTTTCTCCACGGGCTTTTCTTCTTGTTCTTGTGCTCTCCATTCAACAGCCATAACGCAATACTTCAGGGATGAAACGGTTTTGTCCCTCATGTTGTGATTATGACAACATCGCCGGTTTTAGTATATTGTTGTGCAGGCACGATGTACCAAATATTTTCCCTCGTATATTGACTATCTTCAATCTTCATTCTAGCGAAAGTAAATCTTCAAAGTAGTGCTTTGAGTAGGTTGAGCATTCGACTGCAAAAATTGGCGGACTATTGTAACGAACTTTGGAAAGTGCGCATTTAGATTTTGAAATCTAGAAGGATTGGATTTCTTAGCCAATCATATAAGCAGAATAGTGAAGCCATGCACTGTGCTCGTGATCAAAGTAAATAAAATGAAATCCGATAAGCCACAACAATGCGCGCGAACTTCGATAATTCCCGCCAAGCATTCATCTTGTTTGGATTAGAAGCTGTCCAAAACTACGGCAAAAAGCTGCTTTTTTTCTGTCTTCGCGTTATTCAAAGACATTGAATGGACATTGAAAAGGTTTATTCGTGGTACAGCGATCTTTCCTTTTCGTAATCAAGCTGCTGAACTCCGAATGCGCGGGTTCTTAGCAGCATATTGTGCGAGAACTTTATAGGGCTTGCTGACAATAGGTTTCTAGAATTAAGGTCTGCTGACTTCGATTTAAAACAAGTCCAAGTTTATAAAGAAGAATTCAAAAGGTATATGTTTTTATAAACGGGATATATTAAACTAGGAGGTTTCGAAATCCAACGTAGCCACAGAATACAGAAGTTGAAAGCCGACTTGCCTTGACAGAAGATTACATTATAAACAACCTTTCTTCGATCCAGCAGGAGATTTTCGAAAATGTAAGGTAAATATCTAAGTCATATCATTGCAGATATATAACTAGTGCTACTATGCTACCTTATTTATTTAGGATTAAGGGCATATATTTACAAACATGTTGGTGTAAATGTTTCAGTTGTCGTGTTCCCTGGCCTATGGACATCAAACTAAATAAAACATATTTGATTACATATTTAATGAAATTTTAAGGTCAAGTTAAAGCTCAAACATATCTCACGGATGCGTATCCCGAGTACCTAGAGTAGAGGATCTTGGTGACCAAAAAGACAGGCTTTACTGCTTACCCTTAAAGTTAAAGTAATGTGTATAGATCTTTAGAAATACTTTAATCGTGCAT